TGGTCTATATACAGGTTCCTCATGAGTAAAATGAAGTGTTCTGGAATTCCCATTCTTCTCAAAATTATAATAATAATCCACATAATCGAATGGCTTTGCATAGTCAATAAAACACAAGAAAACATCTTTCTGGTATTCTTTGCTTTGAGCCATGATCCATCTGACATCAGCAATGATAAACCTTGTTCCATGTCCTCTTCTGAATCCAGCTGACATTTCTGGAAGTTCTCTTGTCAATATACTGCTGCAACCGTTTTTTAATTATCTTCAGTAAGATTTTACTTGCATGCGATATTAGTGGTATTGTTTGATAATTTCCCCATTCTGTGGGATCACCTTTCTTTGGAATGGGTACAAATGTGGATCTCTTCCAGTCAGTTGGCCAGGTAGCTGTCTTTCAAATCTCTTGGCACAGGCAAGTGAGTGCCTTCAGTGGGGCATCTGTTTGTTGAAACATCTCAATGGGTATTCTGTCAATTCCCAAAGCCTTGTTTTTGTCAATTCCTTCAGTGCAGCTTTGACTTCTTCCTTCAATATTTTGTACTCTACCTGTACCATTTCTTCTGAGTTCTTACGTATTGTTTCCTTCCCAATCCTGTATTCAAACACTCCCTAGAACTCTGGGTTCTTGAATGTTTTCCTAAGCTGAACTTCTAAATTCCCTTAGAATTTGAATACAAATTATGTGGTTTTTGCATTGTGTTTTGCCATATGATAGGGCCTGAAGACAAAATGACTTCATACCCCTATTCTCCTTTACCATTCTGCCAGATACCATGGCTGGTCACTAGATAGAGTATTGTGTAGTCATTAAAATAATCATTATTTCTGCTGTAGTCTAAATCAAGAGGCATTGGTGACTTAGTGGTTAGAGCACTCATTTGCTAGCCAAAAGGCTGACAGTTTGTACTCACTAGCTACTCTGCAATAGGAAGATGTTTCAGTCTGCCCTGCCCTGCAGGGTAGGGTCCCTGTGAGTCGGAATTGACTCAACAGTAATTTTTTTTATTTTTTTCAGTCTGATTCCAGACTTTATGACATAATTTTATATGTTTTAAAAGCATAATCCAAAATTGCATATAAATTCTGATTAGGACTAAGTTAAGTGTGTGTATGTTCTGGAAGGAAAAATAGGAAAAAATAAAATAGTTTATGTGTTATAGGGTGATTTTTAAAGTTTTCTTTAATTTTTTCTTAGTTAAATTAAGCTCACACCTTGTA